GGTGGATGTTACTGCCTGACGTGTGGGGACCCAGAGGCGCCTGGCCCCTTATCTAAGCAAAAACCAAACAGCTTTATTCACAAAGATAGGCCTCTGGTAAATTATGCATTACTTTAATTTGAAAATGGTCCCTCAGAACAGTAGGGTCTCTCCAGTATGTTTTGGTCCCTCAGAGAACGGTAGGTGTTTAATTTGGGGCAAATAAGAGTAACTAATGACTTCAAAGCTGTGCTCTGGACCCTAAATCTGGACAGTTTGGTTTCCTCCGGAATGTCATTCTGCATGGAGTCCTGCCATTTTGAATTATTGTAAGAGAACTCAGCAGTTACGGATTTATCCAGAGGGAAACAGCCCTAATGGTACATCAGATTGAGAAGACACAACCGTACTTGGGAGTTAGTTCCCTTGTGAAATCATGTTAAGTGGAAGGCTGTAGTTCCCAAGCCATGTGAGTTTTTGATGACACACAAAATACCCATGGAAAACCAGGGATCTTTTTCTTTCTTTAAACTCCCCTCCCCCACCACACACACGTACAACTCTTCCTCTTCCCCCTTCTTCCTTCTTTTCTTTCTAAGATCCAAGGGGACAGAATACCTTTAAACAACTTCTTCCTCTCCTGAAAGTAACCTTGGAAACTGAAGTTTATCTTCAGTGTTTTTGTTGTCTTTAATTTGCTAGACTTGCCTAATTTTTTAAAATGGATTTCTCTACAAAGCTCCAGTGGGGTCCTAGTTTCTGGAGCTGTCTCTCTGATTTTACTTCTCTTTGCTGTGTCTTGCATTGTTTGGTCACAGTTCTTAGATGTCGTGAAGATTCTTTTGTGTCTGAGTCCTTGTGAGTTTTTTATGTCAGATTCTGTGTGACAGCTAGTTATCAGGCTCTTGATCTACTTCCCTAAATTGTTTGAAGAGCCCAAACCCCAGGTTCAGGGCTCCAATTTGTAATACAAACTTCTGCCCGTAACACTGCTTTTTCTTAGGAAGTAGTTCTCAATATTGTCCAGTGTTTGGTGTTACGGGCTTTTTTTTATTTTTTATTTTTTTTAAATAATTGTGTTTGTTCTGATGTGTAAAATTTAAGGAAAGAGCCATTTAAAAATGCTGAGCAAGGCAATGCAAATATAGCCAAATATTAGAGTTGATGTGCAATCTTAGGTCCTTTTTAATCTGGGGAATTATAGGCAGTAATTTAACTGGAAAAGTCTTCCTGGCCTATTTCTCCCCCACATTTTTGTAATAACTCTGGGGGCTTACTTGTTTGGGCAGTACCAAAATCAAAGGAGCTGGTTCTGGTTCCTCTTCTTTTCTTTCAATTCTTTTCCTATTAGCGAAAGTACCCATAATTAACCTGTTTGTTCTGTTCATAGACATCGAACATGGGTGAATGTTTTACTATTAGCACATTTAAGTTTTACATAAAATTACTGAGGATAAAAACCAATGTCCTTCTATATTTTGTTGGACTTGTCAAATGTAATTTAGAACTAGGACTTCCCCCCCCATGTTTTAAGTCAAGGAGGTAGGCTTTATTACGGTCACTTACAAATGATAAATTTTGTTTTCAGTATTAATGTTATATTATTAGGAAGGGTTCCTCTTATGGGGAAAAACGAGCTGGCATCTCATTTTCTAAACATTACGGAAGAGAAATTCATGGTATTATGAAAGTAAGGGTCTACTCCCATTTCCCTTTTTTTTTTTTTTTTTTTTGGCCAAGGTACCTTATTTACGAAAGTCTACATTTTGTAAATGGGTTCTGAGTTTTATAGGCTCGAAGTTAGGTGCGTAATGTGAGCCAATTCAGAGTGGAGACATAGCTGAACTGAACTGGGGCAAGATGCTGTGCTGTGCAAAGGTCACAAAGTAGCTTGGGTGCCTTGGTTGTTTCTGAAGTTAAGATTGCATGTTTTGAAATGCAGAATTACAGTGTGTCCATTTCTTTTAAAATAGGCTGATTAAATATATTGTTTTGGTGTTTGGGTTTTTTTCTGACAGTCAAACATTTTCGTTTTTTAAAGTTCTTGTGTTCGTGATTTTTCTGGTTAATTTTTCTTTACATTTCCACCTGTAACATCAGTGGTAGTGGCATCCACTTCGCCTGTTACTTTTCACCCTTATTACAAGAACAAAGTGAGTTGAACTCTTCCTTGTCCGAATCACATTGTATAAATAAATAAGTGGCTTCTCTGTATAAAAGGTTGTAATGCCTCCTAACGGATCTAATTCTGTAATTGTATTTAAGATGAAAAGTTGAATAAACCATACCAGTTTCCTGAAAATGTTCATAATGCATCTTTTGGAGAAAAAAATTTACATGCCGATTTGATGCATATTTGCATTAACGTGGCAAAGATTGTTTAAAATAACCTGTTTTTCAAAAAATAAAGGTTCAGTCTCAAGAGATGTAGCATTTAAGCTTTGCATTTGTTGGTCAAAGTAGATTCCACAAAACTTAACTTTGAAATATGGGTTACCTTTTTTTTTTTTCTTTTCCTTAAAACAAAAAAAGCACTGACATCTTAATCCTCAACTATTTTTGTTAAGCCTAATTTTGGCAAGACTTCATAAAACTTGTATAAAAGAAGATATGGAATGTGCTTGTCCTCCATAGTGAAAGTTCTGAGGGAAAATACCAAAAAGTCCATCGTGTTTCAGTATTTTCAAGTTTGCGTTTGTTGGTGCGAGATTGTTGCCAGCCATTGGCCAGTTTACCTTAACTGGTGACTTGCATGTTGCTGACATGGAAGCTATGCTACTGCTTACATTAAACATACCAGCAAGGTATTTATTGCAGCGGTAAACCAGTTCACACTGGATTGTCTCTGTAAGTAGTATTCACACACTGCTTCATATTTGGTAAAGAAATGAAATAGGTGAATTCCTATTTTAATCCATGGTGGAGCTTCCAGATAAGAGACTAGAAAGAAAGGCTTGGCAATCTTGCAAAAATTAGCTATTTAAAACCCTATGGATCTAAGCAGTATTATCCAGTATAGTGCTGGAAAATGAGGCCCTTATGCTGGCAGCAACCTGGGACTTGAGCATGCCAGATCAGGATGTGGCCAAGGACCTGACCGAAGCTTTGTACTGTTGGCAATTTAACAGCGGATTTGTTGTAATTGTTTATTCATCTGGAAGATTTCAAAAGATGACATCCTGTCTAGAGTACAAAAACAAAACAAAAGATACAAGCGCTAGGTGTTTTGGTTTTAAATTAGTACAATTCTCAAAGCCTTTGGGAAAGACTATGTCTGTATAGCTGGGTCCCTAGGCTATGGATTTGGAAATAGGTTTGGGAACACATTCCTTGAGTAACAAAAATACTTGGGAGAACCCATGCCTTTTGAATTGCTTGTTTTTTCAGTTACCTTTCACAATCTGATAAGACTTCCTCCTTACACAGCCCTCAGGGAACTTGGGTAAAATCAGAAGCTGCTTTCTTAAAGTAGAGATGGCAGCGTGGAAAGACTAATAGGAGCGTCATGCGCTTTCAGAATGTGGAAGTCAATGAGCAACAGTGAGATGATACTTTAACTATGTAATAGTTGGAAATTGTTAATGTTTGAGTCCTTTTGCCTGTTATTTTTGCTTTCGAAGAGGTGGGGAAGGGCCTGCCCTTCAAAACGTCATAGTTTTCAGAGCCCCCTATATGATGTCTGTATATCAACTTAAACAACGTGTATCTGCCACCCCACACTTACACCCCCCCACCCCGCCTCCTTTCCTTGCTAGGGCTTTTTTTCCCAAATGCTCTGGTGGTGTGCGTGGAGTTGTTCCCACTTCTAGTGACCCTGCATAGGATTTTCAAGGCTGTCAATTTTTACAGGAGCAGAAAGCCTCATCTCTCCTGTGGAACCGCTGGTAGCTTCCAACTGCTGACCTTGAGGTTATTAGCAGGCTACCAGAGCTCCAACTGCTTTATCTTTTCACCAAGGTGCATGTAAATTTTCATACCTTTCAAGAAATTCACAACATGTGGTCAGTTTGAACTATGTTCTCACATACTTACATGCCTTTACTTCTACTTAAAAAATGGTTATTTAATGAATGTGCTTAAAATAAATTTAGATCCTGTGATAATAGGTGATCACAAAAGGATAAAAGCTGGTAGGTAAACACTATGGGTTAACTTACAAGAAACATCTGACCACGCCAACATTTTTTTTTTTTTTTTGTATTGAGTAACAAAAAATGAAAGCACTTGTTAATTCATTTTCAAATCCTGAAGACAAAAATGTCAACCGGGTTCATCTAGTTCCTAAATACTTGTAAAGGGGTTTAACCTATTAACATGACCTCTAAATGTAAAATTAGAATCTCTTAAGTAACTAACCAGGAATTTCTCCCCCAACTTCACAAACTGGGTGCATTTTTCACGAGTCCTCAGATACTAGGCCCTTTCTTCGCTCATCGCAAACACCAGCAAAAACTGCAGAAATCGCTTTCACTTGTTCTCAAAACCCCATGATCTGAGCACCCGTCGGACGTCTGAGCGCAGTGACCTGGCAAGGAGGGCGGGGGCACGGCCCGACCATAACCAGGTGAAGTGTCACCAACCCCTGTCCGCCTGTAGCGCGCCGCATGGCTGCCCAGCCCCAGTGAGGCGCTGGGAAAGGAGTTCGAGCGCTGCCGGCGCCAGTCCAAGGGAACACACCACCGCCAAACCAAGTTCAGGGAAGCGGCGGTTCAACCGCTGTGGAGAGCGCCAGGAAAGGCGTAGCACACTTCCTAGGCGCTGATTGGTTCCTCCCTGTCTCCGCCCACTCTACCGGCTGAGCCTGTCTCCTTTGGTCTCGATTTCAAGCCATGCGCTGGGCAGCGGTTGGTCCAACTACGCGTAAGGGCGAACTCGATCTGCCCAATGAGGAGCGAGCTTCGCTGAGACTGTCGGGAAAAGCAAGCGGCCTATATAAGCGCCTGCGGGACGTACTCTCGCACTGGGGTCGCCGTGAGGGTTCGGCGTGGGAGGTTACTTTAGAGGGCGGCACCTTAGGGACGATGGCGGAGGGTGATAATCGCAGCACCAACCTGCTGGTGAGTACCGGCGACCCGGCGCGGGGGAACTGAGCCGGAACTTCAGATGGCGGCGTACCTAGAAGGGCGACCATAATGGCCTTTCTCGTGGCGGGCCGGACTCCAGGCTCGGGCGATACCACCCTGCCCCTGGGGCTTCGTGGGTGGATTCTGGGTGGCGGTCACAATTAGCGCCTACCTGGAGAAGGTGCGAGATGAGCCTCCGAGAAGGGAGAGGTGTGGGGAGGAGACCGGCGGGACTGCAGGCCGGGCGGTCATGGGGTTCCCTCCTGGGATCCACAGGAATGCGCCCATTTCCACTTCTCCCCTTAGTTGTGGCCGAGGTGAGGGGTTCCCGAAGGCCGCTGCCGATTTCCTGGTGAAGCTGCGAGGTCACTCTCGAGAACTGGGTCCAGCTGGAGGGACGGTGGGATGTCTGGACTTCGGAAGTCCAGAAGTCGTAGGACAACTTAGATCACTTAGATCAAGCAGGGAGCCGAAGGAGCTACACTGGGGTCGTGTTTCAGACGAACGAATGGAATACACCCCAAATTTCACCGCCAAATTAGGCCCAAAAGAGAGAAATCTCTGCGCCCCACCGTATGGTACTGACAGTGGAACTAAGAAATTTACATTTCCGGTTTTTCAAAAAGCCCAGGTGCAGACGAATGAAAGGGACTTTGCCAGGCTGTTTCGTTGTGCATGATGTTCACTTGCACTGTTGTTTAGAAATGCATGACCTGCTCCCTTACACACACACACAACCCACTCCACCCACTTCTCTATGGTTAGCCCCCAGAGGGCTACCTTTCCAGAGGATTGAGGCCCAAGCTCACACTGCTGTAGAAATGACAGGTCCCAGCTACCGCTAGGATCCCCACACTCAGCTACTCTTTGCAGCTGAGCAAGATAACTTTTAAGTAGTAGCAGGGCCTTCGGCTTGCCTGTTAATTTCTGTATCTCAGTAACAACTCCAGTCTTTTATGGTGGTTTGAAGGGTGAGCATTTGAAAGACCTAGATTAATCCTTCTTGTTTACCTGGAACACAGACCTCCTTAGTGTGGGCACAGGTAGCCTCATTGTTAAGATTAATCAACCTTGTTCCCTGTCCTTTGAATGACAATTTATAGAGAGATACCTGAGCATTTTGTTCCAATTTGTTTTCCCTTTACCAAAATCAATTGATGGATTTTTGCCAACCAGACTTATCCTGTTGTTGTTGTTAAGTGCCATCAAGTTGATTCTGACTCATAGCGACCCTGTATAGGGTTACTGGGAAGCTCATATTATATTGTTGTTAATACCATGGAGCAGGTTCCCACTCATAGCGATCCTGTACAGGATTTCCGAGGCTGTAAATCTTTACTGGAGCAGAACGCCTCATCTTTTTCCCACGGATCTGCTGGTAGTTTCGAACTGCTGACCTTGAAGTTGGCAGCCCCATTCAACCACTATGCTACCAGAGCTCTTTATATTTTATTAGAGGTGTGCTTTTAGCTACATAGTATGATGTGCAGAGATTGGATGTCTAATCAAAATGTCCCAGTAAACTGCAATGAGCAGATGCATTGAACTGAAAATGTTACAATTTGGTGAGAGTGGTTTTCCTTCATAGTGCAATGATGCCAACCTCTAAGTGATTCCATTATCCAAAAAGCTATTTTAGAAATTGAATGCTTTCCTGATGGATGTTAAAGCCAGGGTTTAAATCAACAAGATGACAGCTGAATTCTGAGTACCTGAAAGGAGTGAACTTTTAGTGATGTTGTTGTTAAAGTGCCGACGAATCGATTCCTACCTATAGCGACCCTGTACAAGGTTTCCAAGACTGTAAATCTTGACGGGAGTAGAAAGCTTCATCTTCCCCCAACGAAACGGCTGGTAGTTTTGAACAGCTGACCTTAAGGTTCGCAGCCCGACTCATAACCACTATGCTACCAGAGCTCCTTACTTTTAGTGATGAGGTGTATAAATACTCTGGGTGCCGTCACTTAGTGTAACAGAGGAGGCTGGGAAAGTTACTGACCATTCTGAACTCACTCAGTTGTAGGCAGAGTGTTTACATCTTGTATGTAAAGCAGCCCAGTGATTGGACTTGGAAGGCGACTGTGAAGTGATGGGCTTTCCCCCATTGATTTCCTTCTGTGGGGTTTTCAGAAATGAACTGTAAGGTGGCGATTTTGCATATTTAATACTTCAAAAGAATCAGACCTAACATTGCGATTGGTAAAGTGATGGCTTTACATATTGATCATCTCTAGGCTGCAGAGACAGCAAGTCTCGAAGAACAACTGCAAGGATGGGGAGAGGTGATGCTGATGGCCGACAAGGTCCTCCGATGGCAAAGAGCCTGGTTTCCACCTGCAATCATGGGCGTGGTTTCTTTGGTATTTCTGTAAGTGCAAGTGCGCTATTACATTACTGTGGTTTGTGCTTGTCCTGAATTAGGGCTCAGGTAAAGAATGCACAGCCTCCCTTGAAGAAAGAACCTTGAATCACTTGTAATGTATAATCTGTAAAGAATGCCTTTTCTTAGAGCAGTTTGCCTAGTTTTCAGAATTTGTAGGAGTTACATAAACACCTAGGGCAGTTAAGTAAATCAGTGCCTCCCGGATTTTATGGCCTCAAGACCCTTTATAGATACACTTCAGCACTGATGAGGAACTAGAGAGCTTTTGTCTATTGTTATTTATTATAATTAAAATGAAAACAAATTTTGAAACATGGAAACACACACTCCATTAGCTATTGTAGTGATGATATCTTGCCTTGAAACTTCTGGAAAACTCCATTTGTGGGAGAGTTGAATGAAAAGGACCAACAACCTCTTTGAGAACAAGTGGACTAAGTGAATAGTTAAAATCATCAGCTTTGAATTAAGTGATTGTATTTTTAATCTCTGTGTTTTTTTGTTTTTTCTTTATTTTAAACAGGACGATCTACTATCTAGATCCATCTGTTCTGTCCGGTGTTTCCTGTTTCGTTATGTTTTTGTGCTTGGCTGACTACCTTGTTCCCATCCTAGCACCTAGAATCTTTGGCTCCAATAAATGGTAGGTAGACTCACGCTTTGGAATCCCTGAGAAATGGCTACAGTTAGTACAAACAGTCATTGAATTACCAGACACATAGGAGTTAGATTCTTCGTTTTTCTGTGAAAATTTTCCTAGCTGGTTCATATGTAAACAACTTCTAGTTCTTCTATGGAAATTAGTGTCTTGAGGGTTACCATTTCTTTTGACTTGTAAGATTGAGCTAGCGTTTAAGGTGGGGAAATTGAGACAGCGACAGGCAGGTAGTCAAATGCACAGCAGGTACTTCAGAATAAGTTCTATGAAGTACTGGTTTCATTTTATACCATTCTTTGAATTTATTCCTTAGAAGATCCTAAGACCTAGTTAAGTGGCTAATGACCATATTAAAATGTTTTAACTTACCTCTGGAAGGTAGTATTTCCCACCTTTGATCCAAAAATAAGCAAGTCTCTTCTTTGCTTATTTTAATTTGATTACTCTACTTAAACCTTTTGTTTTTTGCTTCTCAGATGACAGCAGTTTTTTAAAAATGTGTTGTGAAAATCAGAATATTAAGTATGAACTTTTGGGTTTTGGGAGAATAAATTCATGTATTTTGGAGGTGTTTGCTCAAATTAATAGGGTTAACTAAGCTTGTTTGTTTTAAAATGTTTTCCCCAAAGCAGACTAGATTAGTGTTAAGAATTATCCTTTGAATTGTTTTTCACTTGCAGTAATGAATTATTCAGCTGTTGGGGGCAGTTAATGAGTATGCATTGTAACACATTTAACTAGCATAGGGAGTCTGACTCTGGCCTTGCCTTTATCAGCTTGATGGCAGGCTTAGCTGTTAAATGTGTAACTCTGGGAAGAAAGTATTCAGAAGTAAATGCTAGCTAACGTCAGGGTAATCAGTATGTGGCTCATTACTGATAGAGTGAATTTGAGTTTTTGATCTTTGAGGGAAGAAAGAACACTGCTGCATTGCTACAATCTAACCTTGACCATGGGCAACAGAATGTCTGTTTACAAGAAGTTCCCAGGGCTCTGCCGGATCCTCCTCCTGAGTCTGTCATTGTAGTTGTTTGTGCAGAGATGGGGACTGGAGGAGAGGAAGCCCCACAGCTCTCCGGGTAGGCATACTGAGTCCTACAGGGATACCTGGGAGAACTCCAATGCAACGGCTGTGCCTTTGAGGCTTGCAAGCTCTGTGTAGTCACTGCTTTTCTGTACTGTTTAGTGAAAGGACTTCAGGTGTGGCACAGTAGGATAAGCACCGGACTGCTAGCCCCAAGGTTGGTGGTTCAAACCCACCAGTTGTTCCTCGAAACCCTAGTAAGGGTCACTACAAGTCGGAACCAATTTGACAGCACTTAACAATAGTTAATAGAAAATAGTTAGACTTTTTCTCCTCTGACAGGTTCATGCTTCCACAGGTTTCACTGTCATGGCCATTATACCTGTGATCCAAAGATAGGACAGGCAGGTTTTCGGTTTTTGTTGTTTTGTTTTGATCAGAGCCAAAAAACCAGGGCAGCTGTGATGTGATTAGACCCTCCTTAGGCCATCTGCTGGTTAGGTTGCAACTACACTTTCCCTCCCCAGGACTACAGTGATGAAGGATTTAGACCGGAACTCTTTTATTGCTGCTGCTGCTGCTGCAGGTTGTCTGCTTTCTCACAGTTTGTATCTTATGGACGAATACTCAGACAACTATTGGATCAAGACTTCACACGCGTCTCTGAAGAGTGGGGCCCTAATGGGCTTGGGGCTCCAGGGGTCATTTGGATCTAAAAAATCATAAAGGAATAGAGAAACTAATTTATCTTAATTTCTGGAGGGCCCAAAGTAGTCACAGTGTGGTGCAGTAGGATGAGCATTGGACTGCTAACAAAGTTGGTGGTTCAAAACCACCAGCTGCTCCTTGGAAACTTTACAGGGTCGCTAGGAGTTGGAACCGACACAGTAGCACACAGCAACAAAGTAGTCATGAGACGTTTGTGGCTCATTACCCAGGTGTGGTTACAAAGCAAGAGATTACCATTAGTATATGAAAAATATCACACACAAGACACCTTTATGTAAAACAAATATGCCTGTGCTAAAAAAACGTCTCAGTGGTATAAGAACCTTTCACCCGAGTGAGGCAATGTGAGCCATTGCTACTTGTTACTTAGACCGTCTCATTTAGGAGGATGGTGTTTTATGTTCTGGAGACCTGGGTGACTGAAGGGAAAATTGTTTTTCTAGGACCACTGAGCAACAGCAAAGATTCCATGAAATTTGCAGCAATCTCGTGAAGACTCGCCGCAGAACTGTGGGCTGGTGGAAACGCCTCTTTACACTGAAGGAAGAAAAGCCTAAAATGGTACTTGTTTTTCTCTGACTTTAATGAAAGCAGAAGTTTAGGATTGAGTCCATTTTGCTTCATCATAGCATCACACAGGTTAAAGTTATCATGATCCGTGGATCCTCTCTGCTTTGACTCATAAATCCTTTCCTTCTATATTAGTTAGATTGGATCACTGGAAATGAAAAATGACATTTTGTACTTTATTTTAGTAGAACAAAATTTTTCTTATTTACTGAAAGAAAATTAAAAGATGTCTATGTAGAAAGCATCTGCTTTGTTGCCGCTTCACTTGTGGCTACTTTGTGACATTATCAATGTAAAAGTAGCTGTATTGACGTGGGAATTGGTCATTCTGGGAGGGAACATTAAGTTCTTTGAGTTACATGTAAAGGAGTTTTGTGGCTGCAAGGCTGGTGGTTCAAATTCACTACCCTATCCTCGGAAACCCTACACAGGGTCGATTTGAGTTGGAACTGATTCAATGGCACTTAACAACAATTGTTGTTGTTGTTATGTGCCATGGAATTGGTCCTGATTCATAGTGACCCTGCACAGAGTTCCTGAGGCTGTAAATCTTTATAGGAGCAGAAAGCCTCATCTTTCTCCTGCGGAGCAGCTGGTAGTTTCAAACTGCTGACCCTGAGGTTAGCAGCCCGATTCTTAACCACTATGCTACCAGAGCTCTTTTAACAACCATAGGTATTAAGTATTTTTAAATAATGGTGGTATTATTTTTGACCCTTGAAATGGACTCCTAAAATCATGGCTGTGCTTCTCAGTTGGCTTCTTAGAGCTGATCCGTTTCTTCCTTCTGTTGTTAGTACTTCATGACCATGATCCTTTCTCTTGCTGCGGTTGCCTGGGTGGGACAGCAAGTCCACAACCTTTTTCTCACCTACCTGATTGGTAAGTCTCAGAAAGAGCTAACAACCACATTGTGGCCAGTTAAATCTGACTTGATAAACAATTATGTGTGAATGCTTACCAAGTTTAAAGCACTGATCAGGGCAGGGATCTGTGGTAGTGAAGAAAGATGTTTTCAGGAAGCTCATAGTCCTAGAGGAAGTTAGAGCAGCACATAAACAACCAGAGCAGAAGAGGTCAAAGCAAGCAGCTTGCATCATGGGAGGGGAGGGGTCTGCGAGCTTGTACTGGGGATAAATACAGGATTTCCTATCACTTCGCCCATTCCTCCAGAAATTAATTCCTCTAATGTGAAGATTGGAGGGGCATGAGAACAGTTGTTTCTAGGGATAAATGTTAGTGGTAGGAGTATTGGGTTTCCTGACACTTCCATCCATTAAGCATTTAAAAACCAGGAATATCTAGGTAACTGCCTTCTATAAAATGCCATAACCTTTAGGAAAATCATTGCTGGCTCCTTAATTTTATTTGTTTATTTGTTCAAGTAACTTTCGCACTGTTGCTTCCTGGACTAAACCAACATGGAATCATTTCTAAGTACATTGGAATGGCCAAGAGGGAAATTAACAAGCTTCTCAAACACAAAGAAAAGAAGAATGAGTAATGCATCTGCTTTCTTCAGTGTGGTTATTGGAGTATACATTGTCCCTGGGAACAGTTGCTACTATGCTGTCTATACGAAAATGTTACACAAGTAGCTCTTTGCTCTCCCTCACTCTGCCCCTAGTTACTAGAAACTCAAGACTTGCCAAGTAAAGCTTTGTGTGTGCCTAGTGTTGTACTGTCGAGTGTTGCTGGCTACAGTCTCAGCAGTTGTCCTCATATGGACAACTCATTAAGGGTAGTGACTTGTTGGTTTTCCTCCCCCACAGTTTATTGTATTATTTTCAGGCAATTTCATTTAAAATGAGATAATAGTGAACTTTATCCTTTACTACCTTTAGTTACCAGTGACTCCTGAAAATTGTTCGAGTTAATCTTTGCTTGCGGGAGTCGTGGTCTGGGGCTACGGGAAGTTGGTCCTGCTTCCTGTTTCCACAGGCTGCTTACCAGGAACTGGCTGGCCCGAACATGGAGACCACTATCACCACTGCTGATGAATAGGCCAATCCAGACTCACTCCTCATTCTGTGCCTTTAGGGTGGAAGAGGAGTCCCCCATAGCATCAAAGGAAATGAATGCCATGCCCCTAGTATTTGCTGGTTTCTCCCTTAAGCCAAACTTGTAATTTGTAGGCAACATTGATGTCTTCTAAGTGGGGGCTCTTGACGGGCAGAGAGCTTTGGTCCCCACCCACTTAGGCTTAGAGTAAGTCCTTAGAGCCTTTTCAATAGCAGACAAAAGATGGAGGGCTTTTAACAGTTTTAATTGTAGTAGAATTTCCAGCTGACTGAAACTAAAGTGCATAAAATGTTAAAGCCCGTGTGTATGACCTTCACTGCAGGGACAAAAGTCTTAGGTTAGTCAGGATTCATTTCTGTAGAAGGTAGGTTATCTTCCTAATCTCTTAAAACCAGAAGTCTTTAAAAGTACGCCTCAAGCTTCTCGTCTTGTGGTCATGCTGGCTCCTTCAATGCCCACAGGTTTGGACCAGGTGTCTGACCATTTCCCTCCATCTTTCTCTGCAGCAGGCAAGGGCTGTGGTAAGAACTGACTGTGAAAATGATTGTTAGCTTCTGGCCTGCAGAGATTTCCTAGCTCCTGGGAAAGCTGCTTAGAATCAGTCTGTCCTTTTCAGGAACTAGAAATTGAGAGTAGTTAAAATCTGTAGGAGTGATCCTCTGAGGGCCAACACTGTTGGGACATATTTGGGAACAATTAAACTCTGAACTAGATGTCATAGAGTTATGTGAATTTATTGCACTGATACTGTAAAACTTGGACCTTGTGGTATACCTGCCCCTAAATAAATACGCCCCCCTCTCTGTACTACTGTAGACAGTAGTGCCCATGTAGCATGTGGTTTTTTTTTTTTAATGTTTCATATGAAAATGACCTTCATTTTATGTGTTTCCTCATTGTATATAAAGCCTGTTATCTTACCTGGGTATTTTTGTGTGTGTGTTCTACTGATGTTCTACTGATTAACTACTTTTACACTTTTAATTCTGTATTATTTCTTCTACTTTGTTTTGTGTAAAAAGAAAAATTAAAAATGCAAAAAGCTGGAATCTCTCTTGGCCTCCCACTTTCTGTATGTTGTTAAGTGCCATGGAGTTGGTTGCCACCCATAGCGACCCTACATAAGGTTTCTGAGGAGCGGCTGGTGAGCTTGAACCATCGACCTTACAGTTCAAATGACTATGCAGTCCAGTGCATTAACCCACAGTGCCACACCAGGCCTCCTAGTTTAGCTAATAAAGCATGGTGATGTCAGGTGATGCTGAGCAACCCCGTCTATAACAGAACAAGCACTCCCGGCCTCAAAGTCGCTGCTAGGGTGAGCCCACTGCTGCTGCCGCTCTGTCAATCCATCGCATTAAGAATCGTACTTTTTTGGCTGGCCATTTACTTTTCAAGTATGATGTCATTGTCTAGAGACTGTCCCCTCCCATTACCATGAACAAAAGGACATGAAACAAACTCTTACCATCCTCACTTCTACAGAACATTCTGGCTGTACTTGTTCTTCTGAGACACCTGTCCAGGGTCTATTTAATATTCCTCAGCACCATAATTCACTGGCAGCATTTTGCAGTCTTAATTATTCATTGTCCAGCTTTCCCCACGCATATGAGGTGACTCAAGACACCGTAAATTGGGAAGGCATACCTTAGTCCTCAAAGTAACATCTGTGCTTTTTTAACACTTGAAAGAGGTCTTTAGTCCAATGTAGTATGTTACCTGATTTCTTTTTTAAGGCCAGAGTCAGTTTCACTGGGGACAAACCACTGAGTTGGCCCCCAGCAGTAGACCCCGCTGCCCTTTGCCCAGCTCCCGCAGCATCTATCGGCCCCAGTTGTAGAAAAACATTTTCTGGATGGGAAATCCATTTGCAGCAAAATGAAACAAGACCCATATTTCACACCAAAATGACCTCGACGTGGATTAAAGACCTAAATGTAAAACCTTGTACCATCTGTCCTGACTTAGTGACCCTGTGCACAACAGAACGAAACACTGCCCAGTCCTGCACCATTCTCACAATCATTGCTACACTTGAGCCCATTGCTGCTGCCACTGTGCCAATCCAGCTCGTTGGGGGGCTTCCTCTTTCTCTGACCCTCCACTTTACCAAACATGCTATATCCTTCCCCAGTGATTGATCCCTTCCAACAACATGTTCAAAATATGAGAGATTAAGTGTGGTCATCCAAGGAGTTTTCTGGCTGTACTTCTACACAGATCTGTTTGTTCATTTGGCAGTCCATGGTACTGTCAGTATTCTCCAACACCTTAACTCAAATGTGTCAATTCTTTATGGTCTTCCTTATTCACTGTCCAGCTTTCACATGCATATGAGGTTATTGAAAATACCATGGCTTGGGTTAGGCGCACCTTAGTCCTCAAGCTGACATCTTTGCTCTTCAACACTTTAAAAAGGTCTTGTGCAGCAGATTTGCCTAATGCAATATGTAGTTTGATTTCTTGACTGCTGCTTCCATAAAGTATAAAACCTAGAATTAGACAAATCATTCATGAAAAAATACAGACAAACTTAGGAGCTCTGATACATGGCATACGTACATTTATTAAACATAAAACAGCAGAAGACCAAAGAGATGATTCAAACCTCCTAAAAATTAAACACTTGTGTACATCAAAGGATTTCACCAAAAGTATAAAACAAGAACCCAGATTGGTGGGGAAATATCAGACAAAAGACTACTCTCCAAAATTCATAGAACTCTTCAACACCTCAACAAGAAGAATCCAGTTTAAAAATGGGCAGAGGATATGAGCAGATACTTCACTGAAGAAGACATTTCAGGCAGCCAACACACATGAAGAAATTCTCCCAGTCGTTAGCCATTAACGATGCCAATGAAAACCTTGTCAAGTGTCATCAAACCAGTTCTGACACATAGCAAACCTGTATAGGGTTTCTGAGGAGCGGTTAGTGAGCTTGAACTGCTGACCTTGCGGTCCAGCGCATTAACCCACAGTGCTACACCAGAAGTCCACATGAAAGAAGTTAGTTGTTAGTGCTGTGGAGTTGGTTCCAAATTTCCAACTCAAAGTGAACCTATATAGGTTTTCCGAGGCTGTAAATCTTTATGGGAAAAGAAAGCTTCATCTTTCTCTTGTAGAACTGCTGGTGAGCTCAAACAGCCAACCTTGTGGTTCACAGTCCAGTGTTTATCCTCAGAGCCATCACGTTCCCTAAAGAAGCTGGTTTGTTGTTGTTAAGTGTCATAGAGTCAGTTCCGACCCATAGCAACTCTGTATAGCGTTTTCAAGGAGTGGCTGGTGAGTTTGAACCACCAACCTTGCAGTTCAAACCTACCTTGCAGTCCAGCGCATTAGTCCACAACACCACACCCGGAAGTCTTTAATTTCTTTATCACTGGCTTTTATGGTTGCTGCTCAAATTTGAATAATCCCCCTTGTGGGGGATTGATATTATCCTATCACTGACTATGTTGTATGTCAGGATAGATCTTGAAATGCTCTTTATGATGATGAACGTGACACCATCCCTGTAATATCTCTCATTCTCAGGTTAATATTATCCTATCAGTGACAGTGTTGTATGTCAGGATAGATCTTGAAATGCTCTTTATGATGATGAACATGACACCATCCCTGTAAAATTTCTCATTCCCAGGAGAGTAGATCATATGATTGTCCAACTGAAAATGGTCAATACCAATCTATTTCAGCTCACTAATGGCCTAGGATATCCATCTTCAAGTGCTCATTTTCATTTTTGACAACTTTTGATCTTCCTAGATTCATACTTCTATGCTTCGATTATTCATGGGTGTTTACAGCTGTTTGTTCTCATTTTGAATCATGCCACACCAGTAAATGAAGCGCCATCCACGTCATTAAGGTTGACGCCACTTTGAGGGGCCATCTCTTCCCCACTTTGATTTTGAGTGTCTTCCTACCTGAGGGGCTCATCTGGTATTATATCAGACATGTCCTGCTGCTATTCATAAGGTCTTTACTGGCTAGTTGTTTAGAAGTAAACTGGTCCTTTTCTCCAGTCTCAGTCTGGAAGCTCTGCTGAAACCTGTCTGCCATGAGTGACCCTCCTGGTATTGAAATACCAGTGGCAAAGCATCCGGTATCACAGCAACATGCAAGCCACCACAGTACAACACACTGACAGAGCAGCAGTGGAATATAGTGTGTGTATGATTGCATTCATCTTCCAGTTAATGAATTACTCAGGATGTTTACTCTGTGACTATAAGGGACTCTTACAGAGTCCTGGTGTGGCTCTGCAGGATAAGCATAGGATTTAGCAAGATGGGTGGTTTATACCCATCAGTTGCTCCTTGGAAACCCTATACAGGATTGCTATGAGTTGGAACTGACTCTATGGCACTTAACAACAACATCAAGGTACTTTAAGAACTATGAAATAAAAGATTTAAATTCTTTTCATTTAGCAAATTTCCGGGTGCCATGCTAGATGGAAAGGAACTCTGGTAG